TGAAAAATTCTTTTTTTTTTTCAGTACCAGGAATCAAACGCAGGACCTTGCACTTGGCAGGCAGGCACTGCACCACTGAGGTAAATCCTCAGACCTGGAAAATTCGTTAAGGCATTAATAATCTAATACAAATTGAAGCCATCAGGATGAGGAGATTTTTGCATTTGGTTTGAGCTTCAGATTATTGTGGGTTTGCTGTGCCAACACATTACTTTTCTTAAGCAAGGACAAGAATTTTGCTCAAAGTCCAAAAGCAAAGGAAGAGAAAAGGTGGAGGATGAGGGTGGATAGTTGCCAGACTGTATGTAAACATTAATTTCACTTTTTACTGGGGATTGAACTCAGGACCTTGAGCTTGTGAGGCAGGTAGGTACACTGCCACTGAACTACATCCCAGGCCCATAATTCTACTCTTGGAAGTTTTATGAGCAGGAATAATTCCTGAAGTACGCAAGTAGGCTAGAGTTTTCCTTCCAACCCAACTATACATTCCAAAGTATTCTTATAATATTAAACAAAATATATCCAAAGTCATAAAATAACCATATCCTTTGATCTAGTGCTTTTACTTCTAAGAAATTATGCTAAGGAAATAACCATAAATGTGAACAGAGACACTCTGGAATAAAGAAAAAATCTGCTCTCAACATAAAAACAATTAAGTTTTACTTTTTATTTATTTTCTCGTCGCAGGGATTGAACTCAGGACCTTGCTCAGGTGTAGCACCACCGAGCTACATCCCTGACCAATTAAGTTTTATTTAAAAAAATTTAGCTAGGCAAGCTTTGTTACAGCTACAAGATGATTCTTACATGATATTAAAAAAATGTGGTACAAAATTGTTTTCATATCAGTTGTCCCTGACTAAAACCATTATAAGTTGCTTTTATTTTACTCTATTGTAAAAAAAATTATAAAATGAAGGACTGGAGATGTAACTCTGTAGTAGTGATCCCCAGCACCACAAAACAAAAACATCTGAAATTTAGTGGATATCCTAATATCCACTTTGTTGATTTCCTGTTTTAATTGTCTTTGACTAGAAGTAGTCTTTGATTAGACTATGTTACAACTTTGTACAGAAAAAGATTAATATGTACAAAATTGATAATAATGCAAATGTTTCATGTCCATATTTATGAAAATTATTCCTGTTCATGCAAATGAATTTTGTATGATAGATAATATAAATTTCAATAAATCAAATCCTCCTCTGAACCAGCTTTCACATCCTATTGTTTACCTCATTTATTAATGTGGTAAATAAAATCTTTCCTATGTATTCATTTTATATTCATATGTAGTTATAATCTTGCCTTATTTTGAAAATAATTCTTTAACACTATATATTTTCTAAATTCTAGGAAATATTTATTATCTATGATGAAGGTGTGTCACTAATTTCAGTAAACTTTTAAACTATAATATACATGCAGAAAAGTATATAGGTTAAAAGCTCAAAGTTTTTTCATGATCAGCACAGCCAGATAACCAAGAACAGAACATTACTGGTTCCCAGAGCTGCCTGTGCGCCTCCTTCCTACACTACTGCATGCTTCCATTGGCCGGTACTGCCCTGACTTTCGGCACCCTCGATTCATTTTGTCTGACTTTGAACTTTATACAAATGGAATCATGTGATGTGTTCTCCTGTGGCTTCCTGGATCGTCATCATGTCAGTGAGATTCATCCATGTGGCCAAAGATTAGTTCCTTTATCTTCGCTGCTACGTGGTCATGTGAAGAGAACACATACTTAATCCAGTCAATTGTTGATGACATTCAGATTCTGGCTTGGGCCATTCTGAATAATGCACCTATGAACATTTTTGTAATTTTTTTTTTTGTGTGTGAAAATAGTGACACATTCCTACTGACTCGTTTGACAAGCGTTCATTTAAAATAGGGGGAAAAAACCCTAAAATAAAAAATCCATTTCTCTCTCTACACCTCATTGCATCAATATAAAATTCTTTGACTAACACATTCTTTTGAAATGTAAATATATTCTAAAAGAATTAACCATCATCCATGCCTTGCTGTGAATTTCTACCATTAGTTAATGAGGTCAACACTAATTGAAAAGCCCCCATTGATAGCACTGGGACACCCAGGTGAGGAAGTAGCAGTGGGAGATTTGGATCTGTCAAAAGGCAGTAAGCCTTGGGGCCATGGTGTGGCGGTGCTGGAGGAGTAGAAATCAGGGCTAGGAGCTTACTGACTTTTCCATTTACTCAAATTTTGGGCTACTGTACCCCTTTGAAAAGAATCACTGCCATGACTAAGTCATGTTATTAACATGACTTTTTGTTTTAAATACGTAGCTTGCAATTGGCAGAGTGCTTTTGTACCCATTACCTTGTTTAATCTCACTCTCAGAAGACAAAGGCTGATATTTTTATACCTGTCCCTGTTTCAGATGCTTAACATTTAAAATTGGACATCACAGTCGAACTGGTGGGTTAGGGTTCCAGTTCCTCTCTTCTGAGTCCATACCTGCGCAGATCTAATTAGCCCTCTCCAGATCAGTTTAGTGACTCCCTCGTAAATCCTCTCTTGGAAGGAGAGAAAAAAGGAATTAAGAGGCAGGAGGAGCAGAAAATATACCCATACTTCCTCTTTATTATGAAATGCTGACTAAGAGACATATCAAAGTGCTATCATATTTGACCAAAGGCCAGAAAGAGTGGTACAGGCCAGCAGAGGTTATACTTTGGCTTTCTACGTGTGGGCAGTTATCTAAGGAAGAAGATACTAGGATAGGATGTGGTGGAGGGTTAGACATTTATTATGTAGAGCAGGATGTGCCCTGCTGGGATTTACTCAGTGTGGTCTAGAACAGTACCTTTCAGGCTGTGCCCTGGCCCCAGTTAATCCATTTTATAAAGTAACAGTTTGCCCTTCTTTGAGTGCAAATGCTGAGGCAAAATGACTTGGTAACTATCGGTGCAAAGAGATAACCACCAGAGTTTTGACCACTAAACTTATCAGAAAGAACAACCATTAGCCGTGCAGCATAATTATAGAGCACAAACTAATAAGTAAAGGTGCTAATAAAAAATTACCATCTATAGGTCTAAACTCTCAGAATGACCTGTCTTCTCCTCTTGGGTCCTTCCCAACCGTTCAGCTGAAACTTTCAGTATTGAGGGCTACAGGGACATGGAACAGTTTTGAAGCCATTTTCTCTCTCAGTAATCCAGGATATCACCTGAATTGGAAGTACTTTTTTATTTCCACTGGGAGTTTTATTATTGAGTTTTTCCTGCATTTTTCTCCCTTAGCCCTTCCTTTTAGGTTAGTGATAGGGCAGGGTACAGTTGGAGATTTCTCCTTCTAGATTTCTTCTCCTAGGAGATCACCTTGTCTCTGATACCCAACCTCTTTTTCATATCCACACTGATTCAGCCCTTCAACTAGTTTCTAGGTTTCTTGTTTGAATTATTAGCCACTTCACAGCTTACCCCAGTGTCACTCAGGCAGTGAGTCTGTTTACATACTGACTATCCAGAGTGTTTTTTCAACCAGTGGATTCTTGTTCACGTGAGATACACTTGTACATTGCTTTTATGTTTTAGACAGGGTCTCACTGTGTAATTCAGGATGGCCTCCAATCTGCAGTGATCGCCCTGACTTTGCCTCCCAAGAAGTGAGGAAAAATATTATTATAAAATATTTATAGGGCCAGAGATTTAGCTCAGTGGTACCACCACCTGCCTTGCAAGAGCAAGGTCCGGAGTTTGATCCCCAGTACAAAAAAAAAAAAAAAAATTGTATAAACCTGTCAAATTAAATAAAGAGTACCTAGATACATGACAAATCAAGGCCATATCCAAAAGAGCCAGGCCTGTGAACTTATCAGCTCAAGAGATGGTGCCACAAGCTTACCTGGCTAATACACAGCACCTGGATACAGAGGTGACACACACTGAGGAAAGACATGCGTGTGTCTGCTTTATGTTAATGGCATAGCTTTCTTGGGACCTTTAGGACAGGCCCTGGTCAGCAGGCTTATTGGGGGTGGAGCATGGGGCTAGTCAGGAGGAGGGGATACTGGAATTGTTAAGCACAACTCAAGCTGCGAGGAGATTTCAGTGTGCCCGAGAGTTTATGTAAAGTGGTACAATAGACGGAATATCAGAGAGAAGTTGTGTTGGATTCGTGGGCGTGAATGACATCAGTGAAGGAGGCTGCTGCGGTAGCTTAGCAGCTAGTCTGAGATCTTGGAAGTGATGAACAAAGAGGCCCAGGTTGGGGTATCGTCAGGCATCTCAGTCAATCTGAGAAGGGAGACTTGCATTGCCAGAAGGATTTCTTCAGAACGTCCATCTGGACTAGTGCTGTTTGACACTGCCTGAATTCTGTTCAACAGGTTGCCTCAGAAATCACTGAGGAGGTGGCTGTGGTCTTTTGTGGATGGCCAGGCAGCGTGGGATTCACCGAGAAAGCCTAGTAGGTACTCTCTTGTGTACTGTGCTGCAGGACCCTGAGAAAGGATTAAGGCTGATCCCTGCCAACATTGTCAATGGACTCACTCTAACGAGGCAGGGTTATTGCTGTTGGTTTCTTCTAAGTGTGTGTTTTCTTAGAGATGGATTTCACACCTGAAAAAATGCTGTTCCTATTGCCAAGGTATTAACAAACAAATTGCAAAATGGTAAAGGAGAACGTGAAGATGTTCCCAACTGCTTGCCATTTCCACAATAAAAAGGACCAACAACTATGCTATCGATGTTTTATCCTTTTTTTTTTTTTAGTACTGGGGATAGAACTCATTTTCTTGCACTTGAGAGGCAGGCGGCAGAACCACTGAGCTAAATCCCCAGCCCTATCCTTTCTTTTCTTAATAAATGTTTTAAAGCCTGTTCATACAATAGGACGCTAGCACTGAATGCCCATAGGGACCCCTCCCCATTTATTTTCAGAATAAACAGCATTGTTTCCATTTCTAATCTATAAAATTGAAAGAGTCTGACACTAAAGGTATCAACACTGGGTACCTTGCTGGTAATGATGCACCGATCCAAGTCTCCGTCTTCCATAGAGAACATGTACAGTCTTGCCCTTTCACCTTCTGCTTATTGGAACCATTAATCCCACAACCAGGTTGTTACCACATCGGACAGATTTCCTCAGGGATCAGCCACCCTAAAGGTGGGAAAGCTCAGCTGCTTCTTACTGCTCACCTTCAAAACGATACAAAAGTTTTGGTTACTTCATAATCCTACAGGATTGCAAAGTTGTCTTTGGGGCAGCCCAACCCCAATTGCTCAATTTTGCAAGCAGAAGTACAGATTAATCATCAGTGTGTGGATTCCACTTCTATACTGCCTGAAGTTTCTTGGATGACTTCTTAATTTATACAGTAAAGTGGTAACCTGTTTAACATTCTTCCACACAGGGCATTTTCTAAGTATATTTCCAATTCTGAAAAATATTTCTTACCGATGACGATACATTTCAGTTTTGTATAATTTCCTGAAGCACTTTACACAAAGAAAAAGAGATAAACCAGTTGAGGGGCTGTTACAGGTAGTGTCTGACACAGCTTTGGATGGTGCAAGCTTTGTACAGGGGTGGGTGGCTGGTGCAAAACTGATGGTAGGGCCGGGGGTTTAGCTCAGTGGCTCCACTGCCCACCTCGTAAGCACAAGGTTCCGAGTTTGATCCCGGGTACCAAAAACAAAACAACAACAACAACAAAATTGTGATGCTGTGCTGTCTGAGCACTAAAAAGTGCTCCATTTGGGGCAGCGGTAGGAAATGAGATGGTTGTTAAGAGTAGAGCTGAGTCGTGAGATTTGTTGTCTTGGGAAAGAATATCACTGATACTGTTTCAATGTGTTTGTTTTTTTTTTTTAAAGACAGTACAGTTTGAACATGCCTAATCCAAAAATCTAAAACCTGAAATGTTGCCAAATTTAATTTTGTTTTGTTTTTTTTGGTATTGGAGATCGAACTCGGGACCTTGTGCTTGTGAGGTAGGTGGCAGAACCACTGACCTAAATCCTGGCCCTCAAATTCAAATTTTGCATCTCAGATTTTGGATTAGGAATGCTTAATTGGTCAAGTCTAGGCAAATAGCCCAAGGTCTGAAAAATTCTGGTCTCAATCATTTTAGATAAGGCAAACTCAACTTGTCTATAGTTTTCTTATTATAAAAGCAACACTTTCAGGGCCGGGGATTTAGCTCAGTGGTTCCACTGCCTGCCTCACAAGCGCAAGGGACCAAGTCCAAATAGAAAATGTGACGAGAAGGAAGTTTTTAAACACTCTAATTCCACACAGGATTGCTAATTTCTGTACTAGCTTTCCATCCTCTTGGGAGCTGGAAATGAAGCCAGGAATAAGAGTTACCTTTGAAGCTGGGCCTGAGGGGGTGCAGCCGTAATCCCAGCGCTCTGAGAAGCTGAGGAGAAGGATCAAAAGCTTGAGCCCAGCCTGGACAATTCAGTAGCTCCGCAAAGGCTGACAGTATAGCTCAATGTAAGGATCCTGGTTTCAATCCCCAGTACTGAAAAAAATAAAAAAATAAAAGCAATTGTCTTTGCAATACCTCAGATTCCTAAGTGTTAGAATAGATTTGGTAATCTGAGAAAGGAAGTATTATACTAAGCCACATTATTTAAATGTTAACAAACAAAAATAAAAATTTCTAGTAACATTAAAATCATATCCAGCATGACCAGATATTAAAATATGAAAAGCACATCAGATCAGAAATACATTGAATTTACATCTCTTTCGAATTTACTTTGGATTAAATTCATGTGAATTGAAAGGAAGGTCAGGCAGAAATCACCACATCATTTAAAGTCTTCTCTTCTTCCCCCTCTTCCTCGTTTTGACTCTTTCTTTCTTTTATTCTTTCTCACTGGCCCTCCACTTTTCTCAAGTTGAGATGAATCCTAGTTAAGCTAAATGCAAAATGGTGTAATGCTCCTGTATTACTATTTTTGTATCTAGCTGTCAATCACTTAAAGTTACAAGGGGCTGGGGATTTAGCTAGTGTTTCCGGAGCCTGCATCACAAGCACAAGGGCCGGAGTTCAATCCCCAATACCAAAAAATAAAAAAAAAAAAACGTTAAAGTTACAAGAATTCAAAACACTAGTACAAACATTCAAGACTGTAGTCTTCCCTTATCTGGGGTTCCACTGTCTAAGGTTTCAGTTACCCATGGTCAATAGAGGTCCAAAAATATTAAATGAAGAATTCCAGAAATAAATAACTCGTAAATTTTAGGTAATTTTTATTATAGTATATTGTTACAATTATTCTATAAAATAATCCTTTAAACTCTCACTGTGCCTAATTTATAAATGAAGCTATCATAAATAGTTAAGATAGAAAAGGCATTAATTTTGTGAATGTATGTATACAAATAAACATGGCACTCCATGTAATGTTTGGTGCTAGCTAAGGTCGTGGGGTCCACTAGGGATCACAGGACATACCCTCCTCTGAGAAGGCGCTATTAGTACGCAAAGCATAAAATAAAAAGTAGAAATCTCCTTTCTCATTCTCTTGTCTTTTGCTTCCGCATTCTTGCCACTTTGAGATGGAGGCAAAACCCAGAGATAGGTTGGGGATAAAGTTGGGGAATTTCTTCTCGCGTTTTTATAAACTATGCTCTTTTGTGATTGTGTATGTGTGTTTTTAATCATTTTTGAAAGACTTGGAGAGTAAGAGAAGATTAAAAGCAGGAATCCAACCTACCTATCTCAAACCAGAAGCCCTTTAAGAGATTTTTACAAGCACACACATTTATACATTTATTCACTTTATCAAAATAGAATGTATTTTAGACATTTTAGCACATTAATATTTATCTATAAAATTATTTTAAATCCAAGTAGTATATCATTATATGGTTGCATTTATTTAATTAAGCTCTCATGTTAGACATTTAGGTTGCTTTTACTGTGTCGATATGATTACAGCTTGTATGATCTGTCTAGTAGCTCTGTTTTTGCACACATGCTTAACTACCTAAGTATAAAGTTATAAAATTGAAACAATATGTGCACTTTTTTCTCCAGTAGTGGGGATCAGGACCCAGGCTTCATGCATGCTAGGTAAACACTGTACCACTGAGCTACATTCCCAGCCCAATATGCTTTTGTTTTTGCTTTGAGCTACTGGGATTGAACCCAGGATCTTGCATGTGCTAGGCAAATACTCTACCACTGAGCTCATCCTCAGCCCTTTACAAAATTTTATTTTAAGATAGAGTCTCACTAAGTTGGCCATGGGAACTTTCAATCATCCTGCCTCAGCCTACCCAATAGCTGGTTTTATAGCTCTGTGTGGCCATTTCCAGCCCGATATGTTCATTTGTAGGACTCTGAGTATACTGGGTGCTTACATTTTATTTATTTAATATTTTATTTTATTTTTGATTAATACAAATAGTATATATTATAGTTTCATGTGATATATCAACTCATGCATACAGCATGTAGTAATCAAATCTAGCCTCCCTTTATCCACTGTCCCCTTCTACCTTTCCCAAACTCTAGTAATGACTATTCTACATTCAGTCCTATTTTTTTTTTTTTTTTTTTTTTTTTTGGTACCAGGGATCGAACTTGGGTCCTTGCACTTTCAAGACAGGCACCAAAATCACTGAGCTAAATCCCTGGCCCCAGTCCTAGTTATTTTAGTTTCCATATATGACAGAGAACATGTGATACTTGTCTCTAACCGGCACATGTCACTTAACATAATGTCTTCAAGTACCATTTTGCTATAAACAATAGGATTGCATCCTTCTTTATGGCCAAATAATATTCCATTGGGTATATATACATTTTCTTTAACCAGTCATCCACTGATGGGCATGTAGGTTGGTTAAGTATCTTAGGCGTTGTTACTAATGCTTCAGGAACATAAACATGCATATTCTTACATTTTAAACTGTGCAATCTAGAAGCTAACAGTAATTTAGCTTCTTTTCTGGGTTGGGACACTCTAGACTGCTTTTATGTCAAGATCTGCTTCATCTTCCAGAGTGGGAGTTCCCAGCATCAGGTTTGTGGGGGTGGAAATTTAATCCTTTTAAATATCCCAGTGAGTCACTCTCAGTTTCCTTTCTCCACCCTTCCTGAGCTCATACACATCTCTGCCTTTTTTTTTTAAAGAGGCAGAATTTAGCCTTAAGCGTCACTTGGAGTGGAACTGGAAAGGGGCATGCGTGTCTTCCAGATCAGCATTATTTCCAGATTGGGATGCACGGCGTCATTTAAGATAAAGCTACCTTTAGTTCTTAAGATCTAATTTAAGACATCTTAACTGATTTCACAAATGTGAGTAAAATTTCTAAGTCTTTGAAAATATTAGCAATGAAAAAAATTGGTATTTAACGGTCATGGATGTAGCTCAGTGGCACTGTGCCTGCCTGTGAGAGGTCCTGAGTTCAATCCCCAGTACTATTTATATATATATATATATATATTTTATGGGAAAAATAATCAAGTTAACATATCCATCAGTTCACACGTTTTGGTGGTGAAGACATTCTATCAGAAGTTTTCAAGTATACTTCTTAACTGCACTTACAAGGCCATGGCTCCTGGTTTGATCCCAAACAAGCAAAAAAGATGGTATTATCACAGCATCCACTCTACAAATGAGTCTTTTTTGTTCTTAATGGGTTTTTGCGACAGGGTCTTTCTATGTAGCCCAAACTGGCCTCAAACTCACAAAAATCCTCCTGCCTCAGCCTCCCAAGAGCTGGGATTACAGGTGTGTACCACCACACCTGGCTTATAGCCTTTGTTTTTTTTTAAAGTAACAACATGAACTTGGGATGGACAGCTTTTCAGGCAGTAAAATTACCATGGATTCTCTGACACCGAGGTAGGTTTCCCATCCGATCTATGCTCCTTCCCATTTGAATACTGGATGGCTTTAGAAGCCTCCTGAGGGGCACAGACGCGCACCCACCCCACCACATTCGGCCTTTTGTCTTCCTTCTTATTGCTACTGTCCTACCACCACCACCGAGGTCTAGCCATGCTTCAGAAATGGAATGTGGTCATTTTGGCTGGTCAGGCAAAGGAAACATCAAAACAAAATTTCAAAACTCTGTATAGTGCTAGCACAGCTGTAACGTTGATAAAGCACTTTCACCCATCTGAATCTCATGTGCTCTTACAACGACTCTGTTCGATAGGTACAATGACCCCTATTTCATGGATAACAAAATTGGTGGTTGGAAATTAAACATCACTCAGGAGAAAGCGTAGGATTATCTTTCATTCCAGTATTCTCCCTTGACCGTATGTGCTCTGCCCAGCGAATGCACCCTGCTGAAACCGCTCTTAGCCTGAAGGGGAAGCAGTAAGATGAAGCAACCACTCTCTGGAGTTAGGGATTTTACAAGTTTTCTTATGAAGCCCTGAAGTGCTCCTTTCCATCAGAATCATGATCTACTTGACCAGACCTAGCCAACAGAGCAGAGAAAATGGATCTGTTTTTCTCTTCTCTAGGACTAAACTTATTATAGTCACCCAAATCTAGGATGAAATGTTTCAGTAAAACTAACTCCACAGCTTGTCTTACCTTCACCCAGTTTGTGGTTTATTTTCAGGATAATTTACCCATTAAAAAAAGAATAATTAGAACTTGGTTAAACACTACTACAAAGTCTTACATAATCCCTATGAGAGAGCCCCCTCTGCCCTGGTGTGGCTAAAGGCACACATTTGTTCAAGATCAGAACCAGTGTCAGAACAGAAATATCTACTTCAGACTGGAAGAGTAAATAATAGAGAAGATGTAAGAAGTTCTACCTCAAAGTGGCCTGGTTTGCAAGGATTAAGGTACCCAAGAAATGCAACGAATGTGACATAGTTCTTCTTCTTCTTTTTGTTGGGGGGGTACCAGAGCTCAAACTCAGGCAGGTGTGGTGCCACTGAGCTAAATCCCTGGCCCTGACACTGTTCTTAGTCAAGGAATATATGCCGATTGGGTTCCAAAGCTGAGATATGAACACATTTTTCGGTAAAAACCTTGCACTTAGTGATTAAGTGCTAGATTCCTCTCTAAAACATACTAGAGCTACATTTACATGGAAAGGGAGTTTTCAAGTTCCATAAGATTCCATCCTCAGTGGGTTTGGCAGCTCTCAATCAAGCATAAGAGGAGACTTAAGCCACTTCTGGGAGATGACCCAGAAGTATTCGATAGGTATTATGACCCATGGCATATCATCACTTGACCCAGTGTCAAATCAACGGGTGACTGAAGGACTTAGTTTATTTCTAGTTAAATTAAATTCCAATAGAATGAGATTTGTATTTTGGCCAAAATTTATTTTTATGTTTCCTACAGAAGGGGCTCTTGTAACTTCTTTTGCTTCTTATGCTACTGGAAATTGTGTTGGACCCAGAGCCAATGCATAGAAATGCTTACATCATGCAGTGAATAAGGAGATTAACTAAGATGACTGGCATGCCTTGGTGTGATGGTTTACTGCCAAGATGAATTCATTGTGATGAAATGAGAGGTT